TGACGGCGCACTCTAAAGGACTCACCTCGCGGATGTCGATCTTGCCATCCTGGTTGTCGTCGTAGGCCTCCATGAAGCACTGCTTGAGCTCCAACAGCATCGCGTCTGACATGGCCTGCCAGGAGAAAGAGAGAAAGAGACTTCATTAAGACACGCATCATTAAGGCATTCTCGAAATGATCCCGGCTCAGACTACACTCGCTTCTCCACACGGTGAAAAAAAAAGGCTGCTTGAATTTTAAGACCCGGTCTTGGCCGTCAACGGCGTTCTCCATTAGATCCAAGACCGGGTCTCGAAATTCAACGTGCCCGCCCCCACACTCCGATGTGGCATTTCCCGATTGCCTATTTGACTACTGGTGCCAACGTGTTTCCCATTCCGACAACGCTCACAGCCTGTCAGTGTCAGCCGTGGAGGAGCAAGTACAAAGTCCCGACCGGTCCCGACGGGTGTCACAGTGCCAAGGGCTTTCGAGTACGCTATTGTTTGGCGCTTGCAGCGAACAGGGTAGGCCAACCCGCCCGAGCAGCTGTGTGGCGCAGGTTGCCCGCCTCTGTGAGCGGCCCACACATGTGCAGGAGCACATTCAAGACAAGGGAGTGTTGTTGGAGCCAAACCGCCCCTCTCATTGTCTGGGAAGTGTTGTTTTGCTTTGCTTCGGGGAACGTTCAATTTGGGGTCACCTTTGAAGTGCAAAGAACATAACGATGTCGTTAAATCACTTTGAAGGCGAACCACTTACTGAAAACGAGTCACGCGCGTCGCTCTCTAATGAGCGACGCATTGCTTCCATGTTCGTTTCTCATGGGAGAACGACGCTTGCTTACGTCGCTCTATTTGACTGATGATTTTGGAAAATTGCACTGGTAAAACAAGTGTGCATAATTTAAACACCAACGTGTGCAAGTTATGATTTTAAACACTACATGGTGTTTAGCCGTGTTTAGCTCAAGTTGCACACTTGCGTGGTGTGCACATTTTAAACGTTTTTTAAACGTGTAGATTGTGCACACTTGGACACACACAAATCTATAGGAACCATATGGTGTGCAGCTGCTATACTTTTCGAAAGTGTCGAAAATTTAAACACTATAATAATTGACGTTTAACCTAGATAAACACCACAATGTGTTGAGAAAATGCACACTTGAACTTAAACACCAATTGGTGTGCAACATTAAACACTTGTTTTACCAGTGTATTTTACTTCATTATACGACGACCGTCGCTCAAAAGGAGCGATAATGTGAAACCATCACGGTACCTCCTATCAATATGCGCTTATTTGTTTTTAATCCAAACAAACTCGCTCATTACTAAGGGCTCTAAACAGAACCGCTCATCTGCGCGGGAGCTACACAGAACCGCTCATCTTTCTGAAATACGGGCGGGTGATTCCCAGATTTCAATGAATGTTCCTAGGTGCTGAGCTTCAATTTAGAAACAGAAAATGTAACATGCTCTCTTGTCTGTACTAGACCATCATATTTAAACTACTACATATTGTAAAAGCCTCTGATCTTGGGTGATATTATAGTAAATACGACGGGCAACATAACCTAACCAGCGCCCCGGCCGCGAGCAGATGAGCGGTTCTGTGTAGGGCCCGCACAGGTAAGCGGTTCTGTGTAGAACCCGAGGTGATGAGCGATTATGTTTAACCTAAAGAATTATAAGCGCATATTGATAGGAGGTACCGATCACTTCAATGGGGCGAAGTTCCCGTCATAATGATCATTTTTGCCTTTTTCTTACCTCAGGGCTGACGTCGGTGGCGTTGGCGCTCGAGACAAACTCGCGAAGGAATCCGTCAAGTTCTGTGCCCTCGATGTAGCCATTTCCTGCAACACAAGGAGGGGAGGCACCCATCAGTGAACGAAGTTTCAGAGCACATCAGGTGAGGCAGGCGCCTCCGTGGGGATTGATTGCCACATTCCCCCCGGCGCCACCGATTTGCAGCACGCTCCGCCGCCACCTCGCGCCACGCGAAAGGAAGTGCAACTTAAGTGCGCGGTTTCCGGCGCACAAATAACAACCGGCCGCGACCAATAAAGCGAGCCCATCATCATGTGCTTTCCCTTCCACCTCTCTTCCCCCTTTTTTCTCTCTCCTTTTCACCGAGACCCTTTGCGTGCGACAACGTCGGTATATTCAATCGACCAGCGCGGCGGCAGGGTCACGCGGCGCGGCATGGCCTGCCGTGCCCCTGTGGCCTGTGCCGGCGGCGGGTCGCGGGGGGCCACACTACTACTGGGCCTCGGGGAGGCGCGGGGGGCGGAGGAGCCGGGACGGAACAAACTACTGTAAAACCCCGAAAGTCGACCACGCACGAAATACACACAAAGAAGAGCGTGGCTTTGTATATCGGACTGTTAACAAGAGTGTGCCTGGCATTTGACAACTGTCAGCAGAACCTGCAAGATGCGGCATAGTTTTCAGAAGTAGAGGTAAATGGCTAGTTTTTAATCGCCCATATTTTTGCCCCTAAGTTTAAGGAAGAAATTGATTATCATCGCCCTTTGCAGCTATATACTCCTCGCTGTGCGAAGCGAGTTTATGACTCAAAGTTGTGCACGCTGCTGCCATGTAGACTGCAGTCTACCTCAAATAACTGTTGCTAACAGTCACTCTCTTCCTTTCGTGTGTACATGGTCGACTGCTTGGGTTTACAGTGCACCCAAACGTGCGCGGCAACAGAGAACACAGGAAACGGAGGAAAAGGCGCCGAGAGAGGTCCTTCCCTCCATCCCCTCCTCGCCATCCACCTTCTCCTTGAGGCTCTTTGAGGAAAGTGGGGCAGTGCGTTTTTCGACGAGCAGACAGGAAAGGGAAAGTTGGGACTGTGACTGTGCGATGCGGCGAGGCGAGGCGCAGTAGTAGCACCGCCAGCGGTGCCGCTGCTGCTGGGGGCCGTGCAGGTGTCAGCTGGCGGCGCGCGCTGGGGGGGCCGCTGGGGAAAGGGAGGCCAGAGGCGGAGGGTAGCCAGCCGAGTCACGACAAGGTAATTTGTCAGTGGGTGCCGAGAGATGGTTCCGTGACTCCTGATTGGCCGCCGACATGTATACGGCTTGTAACGGCCCGATCGAGCCGAGAGGGCGGGGTGGGAGTGCGAGGGTCGGGAGTTGGTGATGTCTTATGGTTATAGCCGACTTGTCTCCTATCGTATACACGGCGGACAAGATTGAAGAGTTCCTAAAATCCACTTGGTGAATTGTTTCGTCTCTCTTGTTTTTTTAAAATCCCTGCTGCTCCTTTCGAGCCCCCCCCCCCTTACTTTGCAAGAGCGGGAGCAAGGTTTAGAGGGGGCTGCGAAAACCAAGTGCCCGCCGTTCGCGCGCGTCCCGCGCTTGCCTGGCTGCAGCAGCACAGCACCTCGCCCCGGCGACGCTCATCGCCTTGTTCATTAATTCAATGGAAGCACCTCGGCCGTTCTTCCCCTCCGGAGCGAGGTTAATTTGAGGGGGGGGGGGGGGCTTCGCGGCTCTCGGCAAAGCCCCGCGCATCTCTCTCGAACACCTGCACTTCACACGGCGGCTGGCGCTTCTATGGGCCTCTCAAACGCGCCGCGCTGTGCATAGCCTTTTGCATGCGAGGCAGAGACACGCAGAGAAACGTTGCTTGGGCGGGGAAAGATAAAGCGGGTGATCTGCGCTGTCTCTTTTTTTCTTTTTAGCCCGCCCTTCTGCTTTTAAAAAAGCATTAAAGCGGGCTTATGCAACCGCTCTCGTGTCTGTCTGTCCGTCTGTCCGTCTGTCGCCCGTGTAAGAGGAAGGAGATGAGCTAGAGGTCTACAAATTTCAGGGTATCTTAGGGGTCACTCCTGGACAACGAAACGCCTGGTGCAAATCCTGGCAACCAACCCTAAGGGGGTGAAAGGGGGTAACAAAGAAATAGGGGTTGGTCCAAAAAGTAGGAAAAAAATATTTTTTTTATGGTCTCCTAAGGGGTAACTCTTGAAAGTAGAGCCCTCTGGGCGAAAATTTTGTCCGTTTGACTCTATCTGGCACCGTTTGGGCGCTAGAGTGCTTTTTTCGACGAAAATACGGCGAAAATGACCACATTGCACATAAAGACGTACAGGGAGGCGTCCAATCGTAAAATGTCAGAGGAAGTACCCCCCCAAAACAACACATTCTGAATCGGGAACTAGCCTCGGATTTGCCGTATCTTTCACTGCTTCGGCCCTAGAGGTGGATATATTGAAAACAATGGCAAAAAGTCAAGTTTTAGGACTGTTTGACAAACAATATATAACCAAAAAACTGCGCGGGTTCGTTTTTTTTTTTAATTCTTAAGCAAAGCAGAAGGGTGGGGTGTAGTCACGGTGTTGCCCCGTTACAGTCTTTTGTCATGTCCAAGCAGCAAATTTCTGGGCCGCAGGCCCCCCGCCGGACGCTTTAGTTTACTCAAATATATAATATATATAAGTGATTTACCGGTCACATTATTTATTTGATTATGCATATCAGTAAATCGTGGGACTGAAATGCCCGCCGCCGCCGACAGGCCAAGCAGGCCCGGCCCCTGCCGAACGGAGTTGCCGGCGCAGCGAACACATTCTCCGTTGTTTAACTTTACTTTATCGTCTGATTATCGCCAGTGAAATAACCTCAATATTGTGTTTTTTTTTAATACATCACTGCGGGTGCCGTATGCGCCAAACCTCTTCGACCATCAATCACACACGAGGTTTGACGGCGGCTCTCCGGCTAGGAACATGCGAAAAGAGATAAAACTCTGTGAAGAGAAACTAAACTTTAACTTGCCCCAAAGTGATCTGATTTGCTTGACGCACATCCTGGAAAACTTTGACGTGACCCCCATTTTTTTATTTTTTTGTTTGTTTTTGTTCTGTTTGTTGAGGCGCAGTCTAGCGCACGTTTGCACAGGCGGGTACCGCGGTGGCCATCACCCCGCCCCGGGCCGGACTCGGGCCGGACCCGGCCGGACCCCCACTTGCAATCAGCCGGGTCGCTCGGACGCATGAATAAATTCCCCGCTGGCTGTGTTCCGAAATCCTCGCCCGGACCCAGTACACAGCGAATCACCGAGCGCTGGGTGCCGCCGACCTCGGGGGCTAACTACGCTACGCCCTCGACAATTCCAAAGAAGGAGAAGGAGGACGGAAAAGCCAAGGAAGGAAAAGAGGTTTAACGAACCTCATTAAGATTGCTCCCGGTTGTGACGCAGGATACCAGGACTGGAGGGCCGTCTATTTTACTGGTTCTACTCTGCCAGATTCAGGCGTGCGGGCGTGCTTGCCTTCCGTCGTTCACGAAGGCACCTTATGAGCTCGTGCAAGTATGCAACTCGTCGGCAGAGTATAACCCCCCCCCCCAAAAAAAAAAAGAAACAAGCAGGCCCGCCCTTCCGCCAAACGGAGTTGCCAGCTCCACTTAAGTACGGGGCCTAGCGAACCGTGTATGTATTTGTATCAGTCTGTGCTACTGTGACCAAGCATGCCCGTGGCGGCACCTCGGCACCCTTTGTACGACTTTATTTCGAGGCCAGCAATTACCTCCTTTTCCCGGAGAGCGCCCCCGAAGGACTAAGACCAAACGCGCCAACGTCCCAACAACCGCATGCAATATTTATCTGGGGAGGAAGACCAGAGGCGGAGGGTAGCCAGCCGAGTCACGACA